CTCCACGCCGTGCGGCGAGCCGGGGGCTGTAGTTCTGGGGCGGCAGCCGGGCGGAAGTCATCGGGGTCCTTCTTCAGTCGCCGCTTTATTGCACGAAGGGCTGCTGCCTGTCGGCCTCGGGCGGCGGCGGGGAGGAGGCGCGCCGGGGGGAGCGCTGGGGCGGCTAAGAGGTGCGCGGCGCTGATTCGGGGTGCTTCTGTCGCCTCAGGGGCAATTTAGCGAGCTCCCCCCTCTCTACCCTCTCGCATTAACGCCTTCAGGGCCGCATCCTCCCTCCCCTCTCCCTCGGGGCCTCTCCCCGCTGATTCGCGGCACCATCCAGGCTCTCCTGGGGCACCCGCTGTGCCTGGCGCAGGCTGCTGAGGTACAGCGGGCCGCGGTGGGCATGCGGCGGCTTCCATGCGGTTGGTTGGCGTAGGAGCACGGGTCTGAGCGCGGGGCAGTGTCCTGGCCCGCGGCCGGCCGTGCGGCGGTGGGGAAGCTGCGTTGTCCCGCGCGGCGTACCCTCCCGGGGCGGGGAGGCAAAGAATTCCTCGTCCTTTCTTGTGTTGCAGCTGGCAACTCTTTTCACGGTGGTAATGTAGATAGATATTATGTTAAGCTTTATCCGTTCGATATATGTGCTTAGATTGCAGTCAAGTGCTAGACTCTGGCCGCGAATGGTGGCTGTGACTGCAGGCGTGCTGGCTCGTGTGACCTTCAGCGTGCTCGAGAGTTCCTTCCTGCGTTGAAGTACCCATAATTGTATGGGCTCTCCTTGGAGGCTTATGTCACTGCTCTTAGAAGGCAAAGCTTGATGATATTTTAGTTGTGGTCCTGCTTACGTATGGAGGTCAGGGCAGGGAGATTTTGGCTTCTATCAACTTTTTAATCACATTGTTACATTCTGATCAGCTGATTAAACTGTAGTAAGAGTATCTGTCAGTAAATGTCTTTTATTCTGTCAGCCGTCCTAGTGAAAAAGTGCTATGTGGAGTTACATCCTTGTATTTTTATTTTTTTTAATGCAATCTTCAACTGTAGGCTGTTGCATACATGCTTATTTTTTGGTTATGTTTCAGAGTTATTGTTGACTGATTGTGAGGGTCTGATGGAAATACTTAATGAACTAGTAAATAACTTTTCACACATTACAAGGCAACATAATCAATTTTAGGTTTGCTTTCAGATACTTGTTATCTTTCAAAAGATGTATTTCAGAGTAACAATAGGTAGACTTTTTAATTACACTTTAATTACACTTCTAACACTGAAGCTAAATTGAAAAAAAATTAATTTCCAATACCTGAAATTTGTCAACTCTCTAGCGATGGTGTCATCTATTAGAACTGTATCAGTTTATCAAATTTCTGGTATGAGTATCTGAAAATGTGACTTAAAGATTAGAGTGTTAGAAAATCACAGGCTTTTCTGATGGTGGTTTGCCTCTAATAGTGGGCTTGTTGGGATGAATATTGTGCAGCAGGAGTGCTGTCTGTCAGGAAGGATAAACGTGATTCATTGATTAGTTTTCCAAGAAGATGCGAAAATAGCATTTTCATGGAGATGGTTACAAAAGAGATGGCAGATCTCTTATCTAGTTAGATTGCTAGTGATAATCTGGTGACTGAGTCATATAGATCAGTCTGGTTTAGTCTAATAAATACAGAATTGTAACTGTTAAAATGCTGAGCACTGGCTGGGGTATATATTACGAAATTTAAACCACGTCCTTGGGTGAATTCAGCTATGCATCAACTGAAAGCATTAGTGATTTCAGTTAACTTAAACGTTATTTAAGTTCACTTTAAGTATACTTTGTAGAGAACAAGCTTCAATTTTAAAAGAAGCCTCTAACAACCTTTGTAATGAAATACTAGCAAAGAAGCCTACAACCTTTGTAATGAAATTCTAGCACAGCACTTGCCTCAAGAGCATATATCATATTTTTGTACTCTCTAACCATCAAATACTCAATTCATGACAGTTCTTTTTTTCTCTGAAAAAAGAGATTGGTTCCCCTGTGATCATAACATTACTACATGTATAATTATTTCTTGTGGGTTTTCTTTTTTCAGAAGAAAAAAGTCTACCTTTTTGTTATGATTCTGCATTTACAGAAAAGAATTAGGAATTAATAAAACTTGATATGGGTATTTCATGCAGGTAGCATTCATAGTTTCAGATTAAGTTAGACTTCAGTTAAGCATATGCTATTTTTACACTGTGTGCTAAGGGTGATATAGACAACCTCCAAGCATGTAGGACTTAAAAAAAATCTTAACTATCAAAATGTGGTATTCAACAGTATATACATGTATACATATACATAAAGCATATATACATGTACTTAACAGGTAGTTTTGCCACTTATGGAGAATACACATTATTACAGATGACTGACAAGGAGAAAAATTGAGTCTGGCTTGGTGTAACTCTGGATAAATAGGATGAGGGAACCGTTATGGCCAGCTTCATGACCCCCTTGATATTCATCATCCTCTAAGAGGCGTTCTCCAGCTTCCCCTCTGAAGCCTTACACCCACCCCAAATTAAAAACAATCCAGGAGGGGTGTGTGTGTGTGTTTTTGTTTTGTTTTCTTACAGTTCCTTTCTTATACCATACTATTTATGGTTGAAGGTCTGTTGCAGGTTTGCTTGTGATTATTACACTTGTTATTAGGGTTGTGTTGGCATACTCTTTTAAATGATTTTTTTTTCCCTTACATGAGAGAAACACAAGCACTAAGTGGGTTTCTGTAGGGCTAGTAATGGCTGAAAATAACAGGTGTTAGGCATACAGCAGTGTTAATTGTGATAGACAAAGTTTGTGTTCACATAGATTTGTTTTTCAGTATATAGTCCTTTGTCCTTCATCTCATACTATATAGTGTTGAAGGATTTGGCCTCTGCCTCTGAGCACTAGTCCTAGGAATGTTTTGGCAGCAATTAAGCGTGGTCATGTTTGCTATAAGAATAGAACTGTTTCATTAACCTTGAGATGCAAAATATGTTTATTGTTATTAGCTGGCTTGACACCATTCCAATTTTAGTAATGAAAAAAGTGCTGTGTTAAGGACTTGATAATTTTTTTTTTTAATTGCATGTTTACATAGCAATAAAATTTGGCATCCCAGTGTAATTGACTCATTCAGTTGGCTTCCTTTTGGAAAATGGATGTTGCCTTCTTTCTTCATCAAGTTAGAATCTTTGTTGTTGAAATTTTGTTGTTAGTTGTGGCCCGATGTCTTGCATCCTGTAATTGTACAGAGGAGCAGATCTAGTTTAGTCTTTCCAAGTGCTTGTGAGGAGTCAACTGCTCTCAATGAATGGAAAACAGCAGGAATAACAGGATATTTATGTTTGATCTTGGATGTTGTCAAAATAGATGCCAATATTTTGGATATGTTTTTAACTTTTTATGCACAAAGAAATTAACACATACATTTGTCTGTGGTTTCCAGTTGTAAAAGCAACTCATCTCACCTTTCTGATAATTCAAATTTGAATTAGAGTTCTCTAGTGGTAGAATGTCTTCAGAATTACATGCTGAAAGAAGGTGGCGCAACTGTCTTTTTGCATCCATCTTGAATTTTTCAAAGCGGTAGTTACAAAGATAAGACAATAATTTTTAATATTTTATAGCTATTTCAATTTTTCTAAGGCTTTACTCAATATTGCTTTTGCAAGTTAATCTTGGCTGAGATCTTCTGACTCATTGAAGGAAAAATTAATAAAGTCTCCTGTCATGTGGTCTCTTTTCTGCTAAGATCAAACCATACATTGAAATATCAGTGGTTTAATGGAGTATGTAGTTCCTATTCTTTTAGGTTTTCTTTTTTTAACCTATACACTATGACATCTTACCACTTAGTAGACAATTAATGTGTATTTCTTGTAATACTTTTAACATGTTTTTCCAGCCCTTCATATTTTTTTTGTTGATTATGCTTTAAGTTTTGTACAGTTTTCATTGGGAGTTTTGTCAGGTCTTGTTATAACATTGGTGAACAATAAGACTGTTGCTTGAGTCATAAGTGATAGCCCTCCATGCTTTTTAAAATACTTCTTGGTATGAATGGGCTCCAGCATTGTCATTCTTTTTGAGTTTCTTTTCAATTTTCCATGTACAGATGATCTAGCAAACCTCAGAGCAACTTGGATTCCGTGGGGCAGATGCAAAAGGCCTAGGACTAGTTCTCACTGCCACAAGAGGTCTTTTTCTTAAGTGCGTTATAGGTACTCCTGGTTTTAGCTTACTGTTTCAATGTGAAACTTATTCCATGATGTGTGTTTCACATTGAAACAGTAAAATTTAATTTAGAGAGTACAGACATACACAGATTGAGATAGATATGTATGTAAGTATATAAAATGTTGTCTGATATTTCCATTTCTCTTGAGCCTTCCTTGAAGAAAGCCTCCTGAGAGCACCACTCCTGCATATAGGCCATTCTCCAACATTTGATTTCTCCTTGGTTTTTCCATGTTCAATTAACCTATTTGTAAAAGAGTCAAAATTGGCATATGAGGGAGTAGGGGGACAAAACTGATAAGTATGTTTTTGTGGAATGAATATAGTAAATTGACAGTGGAAATAATCTTTATAAATAAAGATTAAAAATAATATCTAAGAAAGTTTTCTGGCTTCTGTTTTGGACATGTCTTTCTGCATGATTTAACAATTTTAATAGCACGGTTATGTATTTTAAAGCCGTGTAAATTTTATGGGTTTTATCCAAATGTATTTAATTATAGTTGTGACTTGCAGAAGGAATCTGCACTTAGGAATTAGTTTTACAGCTGCAGAGTAAAAGGGTCATGGATTCACTTTCAGGGTGGTACTGCACAGTGTGTTAGCTAGTTGAATTTCCAGAGAAGTTGCCCCATGGCATGCTAAACTAAAGCTATGGGAAGCATTGGAAATGTGAGCATTAACTTTTATGGTGTTTGCTTATCTAGCAATCTTCTCAAAGGTTTTTCAAATGAGGTTGCCCTTTCAATTCAATAGCTTGATGTTGGCCTGATGCTCTAGAAAACTTTGAGCCAAATGATTTTTTTCTTCTTTTTTTTTTCCCCTCTTTGGCTGAACTGAGATTGACCCTCAACAAATAGTGTTTCTGCTTTGCACTACTTAGAAGAGAGATTAAATCCAATCTTGAGAGGAAGTAGCATTCATTTTTACATTATTAAAACTCAAAGGAAAAAGATTCAATCAGTTGTGAAGAAACTGTCCTGTGTTGCTGAATTTTGTCTCGCTCTACAGTGACTCTTTTTATTACAAGATAAAATCATCTTGGCTGCGTGGATCTACAGCAGTCTTAAGTGTCATCTTCTGCTGTATTGAGTTGTTTTGGGGGAGGGGGTGTAGTTAATGCTTTTCAGCAATCCATTTAAAAAACAACCTCTTGAAAAAAAAAATCACAAACTAGTGTTAGAAGCAGCTATACATTCAGATAGCAAATGTTTCTGAAATTTTAGTCTTACTGTATTTAATAAGTGTCTAATATGGATAATAATTGAAACTGGTAAATAAAGTACATATATAAAGAAATAAATGACAAAGCAAGAAGATACTGCTCACAAGTGTGAGCTGACCCTAATGGAAGAAAGTTCTTTTTTGATCTCCTGCCAAAGTCTACAAGCAGATGAACTGGCAGGCTCTAGGCTTTCTTTAAAAAGCTCCTGCACTGTCCATTTTGATCTTGTCAAATGAGAGGTTGCTACAGACAGAAAGACAAACCTGTGATTGTTGTGCTTGGTGATGGGAGATCTTAGGGAAACTGTTGACAGCAAATTGGAAATTACTGTAAGATTTCAAGAGAATTTTGTGTTTACTGAATGTAGGAGGAGGGAAAATAAGACTTTTCTCTTTCATTTCATATTTTTCTGTCATCTAGGACTACTCTTGTATTTTACATGGAAGATGATTGATCAGTCTTGGCAAGGGAACAGCAGAATTTTTACTTTATTAAACTGTTCTGATAGGTTATCTCAGTTAGTCATGGTAGTTTCATTTCTGGTTTAAGTGAGTCCCTGCTGAAGAGGAAACACAAATTTTGTCATGATCCACAAAGTAAATTTCTGATAGATCCAATTTTTAATTAACAGACTTCTAAAGGGTAAGAGATTAAAGCAAACAGTCCTATAAAACTTTTTTATAACAATCAAAATGCTAAGAATGACAGTTTTGAAATCCTGTCTTTAGAATCCATCGCTTTAAATAAAAGTAGTAGCCTGAAGAAAATTTCTGTTTAGTTGGAGCTGCTGTCCTTTAGAGTAAAAGGGAAATGCTTCATTTCAGTGAATGAACCTGTCATACACTAAATATTATATGGAAAAGGAGGAATGGTATAGACAGATAGGTAATTGACAGGGTCGATGCTGAAGGTGAGATGTTATGTCTGCAGGGAAAAGACATTTTTAATGCTACATTTTACATGTAATGTGTAAACTGGGGATTAAAACGTTTGTTTACTTTTTTTTTTTTTCTTTTTAGTTAAACGGGAGTACAGGGAGGAAATTCAGACTGAAAGAGACCAAGTCACATTAATTTACCTGTTTCATTTGAAACAGTGACACATATTAAACTTTGGCATTCTCTTTGTTTTATTTCTAGATGATGGCTGAGCTGAGAAGCTCATGAAGCTTACATGAAATATCCTATAGATACTTCTGCTGATGAGTAGTAGCCCAGATGAAATAAGCATGTCCTAAGATGGCAATAGATCTGGAGTATGAACCAGTCTACAGAAGTGAGTTGATGCCAGATTTGTTAGTGTCTCAGTGGCTTGATGGCTCTCACTTACTCTGTCTCTAAACCAAAGCCATCTTTCTACCAAAGCAATAAAGGGGCGGTGCACAGTCTGACTACAGAATGCTATTTCCAAAGAAGTGAACTGTGAAGAAAGGACTCATGAATTTTGATCACAGGGGCTTGGAGAGCGTCTCTGGTAAGTTGAAGAATGAACTGTTACAAATCCTGAATGTATCTAACATGTTATAGAACACCAACCTGAAGACAACCTTAAGTTTCACATTCTTTGTATTGCTTATCTGATATAGCAAATGAACAAAAATGGTGAGTCCTCTTAACTAGCTTGTAAAATCAGCTTCCATTGTAAAATGTTGTTTGTAAAATTCTCAGTGTCAATAATCAACACTGGCATTTTTTCCATTGAAAGGTATTGAAGATAGTCTTAATCTTTAGTGGAAATGTTGGAAAGATAATCATTGTATACCTTTGATATGCAGTATTTTAGCAACTTAGAATTACTTTTTCTTTTTTTTGCAATAATTGTGAAGAGATTAAGGCGGGGGTGACACGGCACAGGATGAGCTAAACTTCCTTTCCAGGATTTTCAGTATCATGTTTCTCAGAGCGTGATTCTGTATGGATGATAATGGAATTTTGTATTTGAGCTCTGATTTCAAGGCAGTATTCAGTTGATTTTTGTAGTTACTTTAAGATTGTTTACATCTATGTTCATTACCAACCAAAAGGATAAACAGAAAAATGTGAATTTCCTTCAGAAAAGGGAAGTGTAACTATGCTAAAGCCAATGAAACCTTACGAAATCAATAGCTCGTAAAATGTAGGTCTGTGTTTTAGTTCAATGAAGAGGAAAAGATAGAAATTGAAACTCATTACATACATCATATTCAAGAAGTCGGAGGGAATCATGGCTAGACCAGCTTTCCAGGAAGTTGTGGAGTCTGTTGGGGATGAGGAGCTTGCAAATATTACAATGTAAATCAAGTATTGATTCAGTAAGTATTCTGGTAATTAATCCAGTACAGAATAATTCTTCGCAAATATACTGAAGTTTTATAAAGTATTTTATAGTATATAGAATGTATACTACTGTAGCAATATTAAATATATGTTGTATTTATTAGTAATGTATTATTACTGGCATTTACTCACTTTCAGATGTCTGCTCCAGTGAGGACCTTCCTGAGGTAGAGTTGGTGAGCTTGCTAGAAGAACAGTTGCCAGATTACAAGTTACGAGTGGACTCTCTGTATCTGTATGAAAATCGAGACTGGATTCAGTCCCCTGCCTGCCATGGCCATCTTCCTGAAATCACTTCTCCAGTTCATGATGAGGAGCCCCTCCGTTACATGAGTGAGTATATCTGGGTGTAGGATTTTTTTTTTCCTCCCCAATTATCGAAGAGAAAACTGTAAATATAAAATGAATAATATTATAAAGTGTTCAAATCTGGAAAACTTTGGACAGGTGGAAGAAAAAGCTGAGTTCAGGGGAAGTGCTTGTAGTTCAGCACTGCAATTCTAAGGGCTGACCTAGCATGTCCCATGGCTGCCTGATCATTAGATTTCACATAGAAATAAGAGTGGGAACATGTGATAGTGAAGAAGAGGCAGGAACCTAGAATTGCACTAGATTAGATGTAATACGAGAGGTATGGAGTATGCAGCAGCTCTCTGTTTTCAGGAACATTAATGATGCGGTGGTTCTTTTTATGATGTTTGCCCTTTTGTGTCAATGTTGCTTTTGAAATGCTGTTAATCGTTTCTTCTGGAGATAGAAGTGGTGTGAATGCCAAATAGGTGGGTGCTAGATCAGTGTTGATCACTGCCTTCCAGTTTTGAAAATACTAACTTATCCTTAAACCTACCAGATCATAAGGAAGAAAATGGACAGCTTCCGATCAGATGAAGAAACCTTTAATATGTAAAAAACAAATGTATAGAAGGCTGCCAAAAGAACTGAACACTTACTTGCCTGTAGGTTCAAGTGTTTTGATGTGAAAAGAGGAGAATGCATTCTAATCACTTTAGAGAAATGGGGAAGTCCTGTTTCCTCCATGTACTGGAACTATTGGAACAAACCACCTGGGAGAGTGAACTTGGTATTTATATACAGCCTTGGTACATATATACACAGTCTGTAATGATTACTTCTTGCTTGTACATGCCACCTCTGAAAGGGTTGTTGTTTGTGCTTTAAGCCTCCACCCAGGGTATATAGCAAATGAGTAAGTAAAATATTACCTCCTAAGAATGCAGTACTCGACAATTTAAAGCAATCCTGTTATCAGTTGAACTTGCAGGCTTGGAACTCTTTTTAACTGTGGAATGTATTTGGAAGGCCGCTTAGTGTTTATTGCTCGGTCTGTTTCTGATAATAATATTGCAAGCATAAATGATTTTTTTAGTTGAGTGAAAGCTTTTGTAGTTCACTGGAAGCAGTTGTGTAGTCAGTGTGGTGTGCACTTGCCTCTAGTTTTAATTATAAAGAGGTGGGATCAGAGTCTGTCAGTGCTGGAAGGAACTTTACATCAAATGTGGCTCTGCTGAAGCTCTCTGGTCAACACCTGCAGTTCCAGTTCCAGCACAGAACTGTGGGCCTGCATTTCCAAACTGCAGTGAGAGGGAGGGGTTTTATCAACAATGTTTTAATGAAGGCAGTCATATTATTTGGCTGTCAAGGTACTACAGAAAGTGGTGTCTTCCTCTTTTACCCAGTGAGAAGTTCTTTTGAACTATAGAAAGTGTCCTGTGAAAATAGTAAACTGCTTGTGAGAGTTTTTTGAACAGTTGCCATAGATGTTTTCTTGACATTCTCAAAAATGAGCTGTAACAATGACTGACGTTGTTAAAAGATAACTGTTAGGCATAACATACAAAACTAATTCTGTCATTTAAGAACACTGTCGTAACTGCTGAGTCTTATAAACTCAAGATAAATATGGTTTACGTTTCTCCTAGAAGTTGTCCAAAGAGATTGAATGTAATAGTCATTATATTAGCTTTTTTGAGCCTAGTAACTTACAGGGAGATACTGGAAAGGCCCCAGACAAACACAGATATAAATCAAGATCTAGTTATAATGAGTGCTGAATAGCTTGGTGGGTGAAATTTGTATCTTTCTTTCTGTTGACTGGAATTGGGAATAAATGTGGCAGGGGGGCAAATGAGTGCTATAGCTTGGTGGGTGAAATTTGTATCTTTCTTTCTGTTGACTGGAATTGGGAATAAATGTGTGAGTCGTACTCTTGAAGCGTAACTTGGTTTTTTTATGTGGATATCTCCCCCTCCCTATATATGTATGGAAACATTTTTATAACTTTTTCCTAAAGAGAATGCTAAACTCATGGTTTGAGTGAATTTGTAGTTGACATCCAAGAGAAAAAAAAATTAAACAACACAACAGTTATTGCACTTGAGCTCCTCCTCTTTTTATGGCTGCGTATGCCTATTAGAAGGTTTATCCAATGACCAGTTGAGTTCCCACTGGCAGTGTTTTCAGTGAGGTGGAAGAATATTTTCTGCTTTAACTGTGGTAGCATAAGAAGCCCTGAATTACAAAACATCTGTCTTTAGAACTACTTTGTATGTGTGAATAAAGGGACATGGCACAACATAACAAGAATATTAACCAAAATGAAGAGTTGCTTGCAGCTTTCACTTGGCAAGGTGAGTGAGGAGAGATTGCACATGTGTGTGTTCACAAGAGAGAATTATAACAAACTATGTATAATTTTGATCCAGTACTGTGAGAAAATAACAAAAGTTGTACAGAATTAAGTTTCAAAGCTGTTAGTTCTGTGATTTCATTTATCAGAGTAAACATATTTGCTTTCGATTTTAGGAACCTACCTACCTGAGTAACCTTGTATGTAATTAGTGTAAATCTTTATTAAGGTGACTTAGCACTGGATAGAAACTTTTAACTTGAAATCACCTGGTGGGAACAGTTACCACAGGACAGCTGGCTATAATATTCTGCCTGTAATGGCTGAAACTTACTTATGTATGTGCAGTGGATTTTCCAAATACTAGTAAGCCAGATGAGTTTGGAGTCCCCCTTGGCAACCACTATCAGCAACCAAGCAGTACAGTAAAATTGACCTCCCAAATGCATGTTACGCTACTGATAGATAGGAACTTTAAATTTGTGAAGAGTTTCTATTTTTGCCCTGCTTAGAAATGCAATTAGTAAATGGCACTGCTGTAAGTTCAAAGCTCCTAAATACTTGAACAGCATGTGCTGGGTTTTTATGCCTACTGATCTACTTGATAAAAAGCATTTGATTTGTTAGTTTGATTTATTTTTCTGTTAAGCTTTTAGAGAAACAGTTCAGTAAACCTTTTTCTTCTATATTGTTCTTTCTGTTCTCCTGTCTTTCAAGACTACAAGAAAGTTTCTTTCTATACTAAAATGCAGCTTGTTTTTGTTCCTAGCGTAGCCTTAGTGTTATGTTTTAAAAGGTTAGTATGGACATTATGTATGTAAAGGACATACATAGCTTATATAACATATGTAAATAAAGTTAGTGTGCACTCCAGCTTGGCACTTCACTATCTCGTAACTGAGTGTGCAGTCCTCAACAAGAACAAATAAAGAAAAAAACTGCGAACCAATACCGCCATGTATTCAGAGTATGAATCAGATTTAAACAAGGTAGAAGAGTCAAGGAAATCTTCAGAAATAGATTTAGACCAAATCCATAGTAATCTCATTTTGCAGTGCAGTGATAATGGAATTAGTTTCAAAACAGGTTAAGTTAGACCTTCAGTTGAAGCAGATATTTCTATATTTGTTAAATTTGTATTGCTGCCTTCTTTACTTTCATGATCCTGATTCCATAAAGCAAAAATAGCAAATTTCTGTTGAACTTGGACAAGCAGAAACATCCATCACCTGCAAGTGAGATGTATAATTCTTATCCTGAAGGGAATCATATTTAAATGGTTCTTTAAAAGTTCTAAGGAAGTTTTGATAGTGTAAAAAGGATGTTTACGCATGCATTTATTTTTTGGTGGTGGTGGATGCATGCAAATAAATCACTTATTTCCTTACATTTTAATTCTTTCTCCTCTTTGTTCTTTTTTCCACCCCGTATCTTTCATTTTCTGTCACTCTAGCTCTTGTTGAACTTCCTTCCTCCTCCTTGGCTGGATCTCACAAATTTGCACAAGGTAATTAAGATTTCTTCTTTACTAGCATCTTCTATTTCTCAGGAAAAGAACTAGAGCAGACCGGTGTTTTGTGTTTTAGCACTGTGTTTTGTTCAGAGTTGTCGCAAATTCTTCATGCTTTGTTTATTCTTGACTAAGTCCTGTTTTTCAAATCCTACTTGTTCTCAGTTTTTTAATAGTTTTACAAACTCTTCAAACGTCGGAAGTCACTCGATCGGTAAGATAGGATTTACTGCTACATCTAAATTGCAGACATACATTATGCCATTTCTTTTTAACTGTTTCCAAGATGATCAAGCATTTAATAAGTACGTTTTCATGACTAGTCTCTGGGGTCTCCATACTTCGGTGTATAGCTGTCACATACGCTAATGGGAACTTTGTTTGAAGGGTAAAGTCTGCAGGTGTGTTCAGCTGTATTTCGATATGCTCCAATATACTCTTCTCTCTCTCCCCAGCAGGCTGGATGATTTGATAGCTTAGCTGTATTCAAAAAGTTGATCTTAACAGATTTTTCTCCTTTTTCTAAATTTGAAGTATGTGTGAGCACCTCAAGTTTTAGCTAATATTGCTGAAAGCTGTAAATGTTCAATACCTCATTGTATTCAGTCTCCCAAATGAGTATTGTTTCGTATTTCTGAAGTTAAGATGCATTTTCACAGCCTCCGCGGGTTTCATCAACTAAGTACTGTATTTGCATATGAACATCATCCTCTGAGTTTTAGCTCTCTCCCTTCCCAGCAGTCTTCTTGTACTTAAGCTACTTCAGTAAGTATGTTTTTCTCTTCTCAGTTCTTGGCACAGATAATGTGGAGCAGAAAACCTACAGTGATGCTGATATGGTCAAACATCTGTTAGCTGAGGTACGCTCGTCTCTGTAATGCTATGTTAATATATTTGAGGACGTGTATTTGAGGAAGGGTTTTATTCAGCTACTGGAAATTTTGGTTCAGTTATCTTCAGGAGCTGCTTATTGAACACATGATTGGTTGCACCATCTCAGAAACAAAATTTAGCAAATGGGCACCCATGGAGCCAGTGAGGTGTAACAAAGAAACAGCTTTCTTCTGCTTTCCTGTTGCTCCTTTGCGTCTACCCTCTCATCACTATTCAAGTTAAGCAGTCTCTTCTGGAGAAAGTGTCACTTGAAAGACCACCGGCCTAAGTATATGTGGCTTCTTTGTATGATTCAACAGAGCCCATATAACCTCTCCAGTACTCAGCACAAAAAACAAAACTATCCTCAGGTTTGGTGCTTTCCCTTCCCCCTGTTACTGCAAATGACTGTGGAAGAGAACGTGCTATATCAAGGAACACAGTTATGGATGTGTTCTGGGTCCAAATGATGAAGCATTAATCATTGTTCTAACAATGTTGATCCGTTTGAGAGTGAAAGGGAATCTCAGAGTGGTGACGCACTAAACAATAGCTATGAAAATCTAAGACTACTCTGAATTTAAACCTTACCTTATCAAAAGTCGACATTTGTTCTTATTTTGTGAGCAGAAAGATCGGGACCTGGAACTGGCAGCTCGAATTGGACAAGCCCTCCTTAAGCGAAACCATCTGTTGACAGAACAGAATGAAGCACTAGAAGAACAGTTAGGACAAACTCTAGATCGAGTGAGTAGTCTTTTTTTTTCTTTCTTTTTTCTTTCTTTCTTTTTTCCCTCCCCTCTTTCTCTGCCCCCCCCCTTTCTCTGCCCCTCCCTTTCTCT